AAAAAAAAACCTCCCGATGCGACAAGTCTTTCTCAAAAATCCAACCATTTTAGAGATAATGTAAAACCGGTGATGTAATTCGAAAACAAATCGTAGATGTTCCATAAATCTTTTTTTTTCGAAGTTTTTTCTTTACACGAATAATAAACCGATCCCGAGAAGTTAAAGTAAGCTAATACGCGAATCTCGAAAATCTAAAAAAAATTTAGCAGCCTTTTATCAGATCGTGGCTTTTGTAGCTTCTGAATGTCACCTCTGGGGGGAGGGAGGGGGACGGAAGGGAGAGGGACAGGGGAGGCGGAGGGGGAGTTATTTGTAGATTTGCAAATTATTATCAGTAATGTAATTCAGAAAAGTTCGGTGTTTTATGAGTTATGTTTCTGTGCCTTTTTTTTTCTGTGAATCTCGTGTGAATAGAACATACTGTAATTGGTTGTTATTGTTTTATCATCACGTTTCTTCTCGCCATTGATGCATCTGACGCTTTCCAATTTTCCTCTGTTTTGAGCTTCTCTCATCCACAAAACTCGATCAAGTAGTCCCTTAGTTTTGATGCTTTGAAATTATAATTTTTAATGCGCGGGCAGTGCTTTTATAATCGAAACTGAGGATGGAACTGGAAGAGGTAAATCGGAAGAAATCTGAATAGGAATATTTCTGTCCATCAAGTCGTACGTAAACACTTTTTTTGAACCTCACAACTGGATCTAATACTCCCGTCGTGTTCCTTTTAAAGCTGGGAACCTATCGATTCGCTCTGATTTAAGGCTCACCACAACCTCACATTTTCTCCGCATAGGCTTACAAGCAAACCCCTCCCACATTAATGGCGAAATTTTAGCATCTTCCTCCAACACGCATATCAAAAAATCGGTTTTATTAGATTTTCTAAACGAATTAAACCTTGCAGAAAAAAATACGGCTTCTCTTGGGCTGTGGCACTCTCTTCTGGCTAGATAACTCTCTCATAGGTAGATTTTTTGTAGTATTTCTTCGGAGTTATTGACAGGAAGAAGCATTTCAGCGAAAAAGCTTATTTTTCGGATATTTTTTCGTAAAAATTGGTGCACTTATTTTCAGTCCTACGGAGACATCCTGGATTTCTTCTGTAGGATTTAATGCTTTTTTTTCAGAACTTTCCGTTTGCGAATTTCTTTTTTTTTTTGTTTTTTCAATTCCGATTTTTTTTTTGCGGTCTGATTGACCTTTCTTAATGTATGTGCTTGTATACTGAGGAATATTAATATTATTACTGGTGATGTTAAATTTCATTAAAAATTAAAATTCCATATTTTATGTGCAAGCTTTCACTTCTGTTTCAGAAGAAAGTTTTGGGAACTCAGAACATAATTTCTTCCGGCGATTTTCAAAGTCAAAATCCCCTTCGTCATCACCCTGTGCGGAAAGTGTAGGTACCCAGGAAGGTGCGCGAGTGGTAGCAAAGATCAGCTGTCAATGCTGTCGATGGCTCCCTCTTTCAAGAGTTTACGAGTGTAAAAGCGCAATCGCGTTTCCAGGGTGGGACCGCCAACCCCAAGACTTCTTGGTTCGTAACCAGAGTCGGGTCATCCTTCAAACTGAGAGGTGCAAAAGCGAATTCTTCGCCCCCCTAATCCCCAATCTGAATTATAAAATACAAAAGTAAAAAAAAGTTTAGGTCATTTTTCGATGACATTCCAGCTGAGCGTCGGGAAGCGACATTCCCATCGGAGATCGTATCTCTGACAGGGGTTTGTCTCTGTGTTCCCAGTCCACTTTTCCCCTCGCCGACTTTCCCATCGTAGATTGAATTTACGACGATAAAATCCATCCCCAGTTTCCACAACACCCATTGCGGAATCGCAGATGAACGCCGTTTCGGAGATTGAGTTTTTTAATATCTGTTATAGGAACATTAGTATATAAATAAGACGGACGATCTGATGATTCCGGGTTCGCGTGTATCTTCAATATTATTCATCCACGTCCACTCTCTGAGTGCCTTTTGTCAACCGGTTTTTTCACACCAGAACTGGCGATTCGTCGATTACCCATTCTGTTCAATGTCAGTGTCTCATACAGTAAACTACCCTTTATCTCTGGCTCAGCTCAGCACCCACATTGGTTCCTTCGATCCATCGACACGTCCATAGGTGGTACCAGAAGCGACATACATTTTAACTCGAGTAAGCTGGTGGTGGATTTGACTCCGTAACACATGCCAGTACCAATTTACCATTTAAATGAGTGAATCAGTCGCATAAGTATTGTTCATTCCACTGGCGCAGCTGAACTTTCGACCTATTTGTGCGACAACAGAGCATTACTTCCCACTGCGGTATGCTCGCTAACTTGACAAATATCGAAGCAAAAACATTTGTTTTTGCGGAACAGCGGCTTTTGAACATACGCTTTATTCAAGAAATTTACGATTCTGGAAGGACACATGAAATCAGCTAAAAGGAAGGACAATAGAAACTGAATAATAAAATAACATGCACAAATATTGCCGCGATAACTTCGTGAATTATTCCTACTAAAAAAACTACGAGTCGTTTTGCTGTTTTTCTTTTTTTTCTGCATTCTCAACAGAAATAACACAAAAAAGTGGATGGGTGCTTTTTGCAGCGCATATCCAGTACTTTCCTCCGGAAGAAGGAAAAAGTACATGGGGGAACGATTGCTTGAGGGGGGAG